GTGGATTGTAGCATGCCAGGCCTCCCTGTCCATCACCAACTCACAGTGCTTGCTCAAACTCATCTCCACTGAGTCAGTGATGCCATCCAACCATCTCATCCTCTGTTGTCCCCTTCTCCTCCTGCCCCCAATCCCTCCCAGCATCAGGGTCTTTTCCAACGAGTCAACTCTTCGCATGAGGTGGCCAAAGTACTGGAGTTTCGGCTTCAGCATCAGTCCTTCCAATGAACACCCAGGGCTGATCTCCTTTAACCAGGATGGACTGGTTGGATCGCCTTGCAGTCCAAGGGACTCTCAAGAGTCTTCTCCTGAGAGAATACCCTAATTCTCTGTGTAACCGAGTAGAACCATGCATTCTATTTTGCTTATTGGGGTATGACCACAGGCCTGTTGTTAACTACCTAGGTTTAAGGCATACGAATCACGGGTTAACTTTGATTGTATCTTTCTTTTCCTTTGTTCAGACTAGTTTCAGAGAATTTGGGGGGGTGGGTTTGAGCATATACCCTTGGGGTATATAAGGTTGTCACAAAAGCTAGTCGGGGGTCCTTGGCTAAGAGGAGACTCTGCTTTGGGCCCACCAGTGTAATAAACTGCATTCGACTATCTGCTTTGGCGTTCTGAGTGAGTTTCTTTCCTGGAACGTGTGGCTACAACATTTGATGCACCTCGCCCTTCTGGAAGGATTATGTTTCTCAACACCTAGAGCTTTCACGTTAGTATGTAGTGGGGCAGGTAGCAGGTAGTGGGGAACTTAGCACTCAGGTGAGGAGAAACCCACCCGGTAGGGTGGAAAAAGGGGCCTGATCACTCCTTCACACCCCCCACCCCGGGAGGGACTAGAAGGGGCACAGACCCACAGGAGCCTGAAATAGGCAGGTGGCAGTGATTGCTTGGTACACAGGTTGACGAGCATGTTAGGGCTTAGGAAGGAAATTTGTGAAGGTCATTTAGGAGGTGGTGTCCACGCCGTCTCAGGGAAAATTATTACCAGGCGATCGCCAGGGGATTTTTAGGAAAACAAACTTGGTCTTTGTGTGCTCGTATTCTGCCCTCCCCGAGGAGGTGTCCCATTTGCTGTGAAGTTCTTGGCTCCCTCAGAATTGTCAGGCTAGAAGAAGGCGGATACATAAGTGAGTATGAATTAGCTTTTCTGGGGACAGCCTGGACGTGTGATGTATAACCCATCTGTGTCTTCATCCACACCTGATCAAGCCCTCCAAAGCAGAACGGACCTAAAAAGTTAAGGGATCAACAGTCTTGGACCACGTGGTATTCTGGTTCAGCTGTGCTGATTGGCAGGTGAAGACATGCTGATCCCCCTTCTCCCTCTGGGGTCTGCCAAGTAAGGCTCTTCTCACCCCAATTAGGAAGGAGGCAAAATGGCAATTTAAGTGTTTCATTGAGTGGCAATATCAGAAGTACATAGGGTATTGAAAACTTCGTAGACAGAATGAAAAGGAAAAGTAGAAGAAGGTCCGAGAAGGAAAGCAAGATGGGGGGAAGTGAATCTAAGGCAACTGTATTGGAGTGCATGATTAAAAATTTAAAGAAGGGATTTGGAGGAGACTATGGGGTGAAGATGACGCCTAACTGCCTCCACAGACTCAGTGAGGTCGAATGGCCCCCTGTGGGAGTAGGATGGCCACCAGAGAACACCATGAACTCAAAAACAGTGGAAGCAGTCTACACAGTAGTCACAGGAGAGCCAGGACACCCGGATCAGTATCCATCTATTGACTCACGGCTAGGGTTAGCTCAAGACCCTCCTACTTGGACGAGGTTCTGTATCCAGAAGGGAAAGGGAAAAATATTAATGGCACAAAAATTGGCTGGTGATAAAAAAGAAAATTCTACAGGATTTGGACGGGGATGACCTGACCCCTCCGCCACACTGGATAATGACACGCCTGCCTCCCAGTTCCACACCAGGACCGGAG